TGGTTCTAAAGAAACAGCTGCAGTACTTATTATAAGTATAACAATAGGTATTCTTTTGGGATTTTTATGAATTAAATAATTATATTAATATCTTACCACATAATCAAGGAATATGACTATCACGAACAATCCAACGTTCAGGAAGTTTTTTTTAAATACTCTCACTCCCCCTTCTCTGTAATGTATTGGTGTACCATCTTGCATAAACCAAATATTTAGCCTTATGTTTGATGACAATTCTTCCAATAAATCAATAAAATCATTTTATAAAAATCTAAATAAATCTAACCATCCAAATTGCAAGGTAATTCGCATATCTATAAAATATCATTCAAAATTCATATTTAAAATGCATGTCCTATGGTTTGGAATCATTGGTAATTATTTTTTACGGATATGCGAATTACTTTGCAATTTGAATGTCGAGATTTATTACATTTTTATAAAATATTTTATTGATTTATTCAAAGAATTGTCATCAAACTTAAGGCGAAATATGTGGTTTCTACAAGATGGTACACCATTACGTTACAGAGAAAGTGGAGTGAGACAGTGTTTAAAACAACTTTCCTGAACGTTGGATTGTTCGTGGTAGTCATAATCTTGTGGTGAGATATTAATATAATTATTTAATTCATAAAAATTTCAAAAAATTACTTATTATTATACGTATAACACTTATAATAAATACTGCAGCAGTTTCTTTAGAACCAATGATGCTATTTAATATGAGACGATATTTTATGGAATGTATTGACAAATGAATTAAAGAAAATGGTGGACATATTGAACACTTACTTTGACAAAAAGTTCAACGTTATTTAGTTTAACTATTTCTTAATTTGGTTTGTAAATAAAATGTTTTGATTATGCCTTTAATTTAATACAAAACGTAAAATGTTTGATGTAAAATCCAATTATTCTGTTATTTATCAAATCCTGTTATTTTATCCTGCTGATATATTTATTTTATTTAATAATTCGTTAACTATTAACTTTATTAAAGGTATTTTATACCAAAATTCAGAAGTATTAATGTTTTTCTTTAATTTTCTTTCGTTGTCTGGAGTAATTGAGATAAATCAGAATTATGTAGTTGATTTCTAAAATGCGATTATCTCGAAAACTGTTGAGTTTTAAGGATATTAAGAAGTATACCTTTTTTTTGTTAAAATAATGTATCTTTAATATTTTTTAATAAAAATACCCATAACTTGAGGAGCAAAAAAGTTAAGTGCAAATATATGCCACGTATGTGGCATATGTGGCGCCCTTATCAGATACATCAAAGTATACATCAAATTAAAATTTCTGATATTTAATACTACCCAGTTGTAAATTTTTATACATAAATGTTGACAAATATAAAAGTTATAGCAAAAAATAAAAATCATGAATGTGTTGCTTGTGTGTGATCCATATCAAATAGGTAAAGAAATAATAATAAGACTTACTCACAATCAATTTAATTTAACAATCTGACGACGGTTTCGCTTTCTACAATTGCAAAGCATCCTCAGGTCCAGATACAAAGTTAAACTAATGCTGCAATAAAATAAACCCAATTAGGGTGGTGTCTAATAAAGATAAAATAAATAAATAAGTTAGTTCATACAAATTATAGTAATTATGCCAATATTACATGTCTGTGGTTTTCAAAATGAATAAATTTGAATTTTTTTATATATTCAAATTTATTCATTTTGAAAACCACAGACATGTAATATTGGCATAATTACTATAATTTGTATGAACTAACTTATTTATTTATTTTATCTTTATTAGACACCACCCTAATTGGGTTTATTTTATTGCAGCATTAGTTTAACTTTGTATCTGGACCTGAGGATGCTTTGCAAATTGTAGAAAGCGAAACCGGTCGTCAGATTGTTAAATTAAATTGATTGTGAGTAAGTCTTATTATTATTTCTTTACCTATCCAAAAAATAAAATTTTAAATTTCCACTTTAACACCCTGTATCTTTCTTAATATTAACATTTTATTAAAGCAACTTGACTTAAATCCTAAGATTTTAAAGTGTAGAATCTACGGTTTCTTTTTGTACAATTACTTAAGGACCACCCTGTATACATTCTAAATTTACATTTTCCACGAAAACCGACGAGCATTTCATCCACTGTTACGTATTCTCCACACGAATAATTAGTTTGACAGTTATTTACAAAATGGTGAAAAATTTCAGAAATTGCTGCCAGCTTGTCTCCATTTACAATACGCTGGTCTCTAGTTTGCGGATCGTCAAATCTCAAAGATGTCAGTAAAAAACTAAACCTTTTTGCTGTCATTACGGAACGGAATATATCACGACCAGTCATCAGTTGCAAAGAGAGAATTTATATCTTCATTGTTTGATTTGAACACGTCTGCCAAATATCTACAGAAGACCAAAAAATGCTAACATTTCAATTTTGTCAACATGGTTTATTGTACTGCATCCTAAAGCGTTATCTCCATAATTTGTTTGCAAACTGGTTATTTTTTCGTTGGTTCTCTCAATAATCTGGTCAATTATTTTATCATCAACTAACAGTTGGAATGCTTCAGCAGGAGTCATAGGTTTGTTTATTCGTGCTGGTCCAGCAAGTCCTGGTACATGTGACACGATATTTGTTGCACGAGTTCGGCTCGACGCAGGAGCTTGCTTTGACCATTTTTTTTCTATTTCTCCCGTAATAGTAACTTTGCTGTTCGTTATCACTACTGTCATCCCACTACTCGATTCGGTACCTAAGATTTGATCGTTATTATTCCCAGTGTCACTTTGATCACCAGCTTCAGAGTCAGTATCATGCTCACTAACAATTGTCTCTGCATCAGATATGTCGAAATCGCTGTCACCAATCTGTTCAGCTATGTCTTCTAACTCCTGTTGTGTCAAGGGTCTCGTTCTGACACTTGAATTAGCCATAATTATTTAAAACTAAATCACTGACAATTGGCATTTTAAGGTATGGCGGGGTCAATTTTGATCCTATCGACATCTAACACTCAACAAAGTACAAAGTCAACTGCAGCGACTACGTTCAAGCAATGTACTCAACGCCACAGACGAATAGCTGGACGGCGGCGTTGCCAGGTGTTGTCCTTTTTCTGGAATTTTAATAACCATTTTTTTGGGGTCTAAAATGACCCGCCATATCAGTTAGGAGTTAAGTTTCTGTAAGATGTCTTGGATCTGATCTTACAACTTATCGACTTATTCGTCAAATTTTCTATCTGCATTCGGGCACAGATTTGAAGTATGCTAGTTTTTAATAGTTGAGTATTTATTTGTAGTAATATTCTTATATCCGAGACTGATACGAAATGGGTTACATATTTACTTAATTCTGATATTACTAATATACCTACACCATTTTTGCTGTCTTCTGTGCTGTTACCGGATTATATACTTCCATCCTTTTTACATGATCCTTACTCTGGCCATCTCATTTCGCTGATTTTCCAGTAAGTCTATTTTCATTCTTTTCATTTCTTGAATTGCGTTGAAGTTTCTTAGTCGCAAATAGACTTCAAACATTCCATGTGCACATTCTAAAATTAGATTTCTTCATTTTTAGGATTTCTTCCTTCTTTCCTCTAAAATGGGTTACTTTGTTTAATTTCAGTAATATTTTTTATTTAAAAATTTAACCCTCGAGAAAGGATGGTATCCCCTAGGCTAAAAGCACTCTATGGTGCAGGGCCACCTTTAACGTAGAAAGTAAGTAGAACCTATATCCAAATTTTGATGCAAATCTGTGCAGGCTCAAAAAATTATACAGTTACGCTCTATTTTACCTTTAATAACTTTAATTATAGGCAAGAAATATAAAAAGCTCGTAATAGTGAGATTAAAGAAGGAATTAAAGAACAAGATTAAAAGATTGGACTATCGAGGCATTAGACTATGTAGTGAGTCTACCTAAATTTGGGTATGCCCTATCTCCAGATATTTCTGTTCTATAAGTAAATAAATACTTTTTGGAAATATCGGGTAAGGCGTTAAATAGTTTGATCTTTCTATTTAATAGCAATATCCATGAACCAAAGTATTTGAAATTAATCTTTTTCATAGTGTTGATCAATTATCTTCCTTTGCGCATGGTTTCTAGCACAAGTTCGTTTAATATCTGTTAGTGTTCACGGGATTTTAAGCATGCGATGGTAACACTATAACTCGTACGCTTCCAATCTCTTTAGATTTTTGTCGTTTATTGTCCAGATTTTATATCCATAAAACAAAATCGATCTCTTAGATACAAAAGACTTCTATAGCATAAAAATAGAACGCCAGCAAATGAACCCAGTAGTTAATCAAACTGTAATGGTATTATTCTTAGCTTTAAGTTTCATTCTAATTCAACATTAGTAAATTTACTTAGTTCTTAGCAGCAAATGCTGTTCTGATGAGACCTTAAGAGGTCGAAATAAGTATAAGCGGTTTGTTGTGGCCCTGCATCGAAATTAAAATCTAATACCGTCATTATGTTTTATTTCTTTACTCTGTTTGGAGTTCCAGAAACTGAATTCACTACGAATTTTTAACATGATGAACGGCATGTGGAATGCATATTTTAGATTCCCTTGTCGACTAATTCATCAATCTGTCTGCTTTGCAAGTTTTAGAAAGCACAGTGATAAAGATTTGAATTCAGTTTCACCATTTAGGAAATCTTAGGATTCCTAGTGCTGTTACCTAGTTCTTTTCTAAAAAAAATAGCACGATCACTATTATTTGTTTTATGTATTGCATTTGTCATTTCTGTAATATTAAATAAATTTTAATAAATACAATCGATTTCAGTTAACGAATTTTCTTTGGTTCATTATTTTTATCTATGGTTTTTCGGCATTTGCTATTAACTGTTTTTATAGCAATTTTATAGCAAAAATTGCTTTTTTAGTTCAAAATAATAATCTAATATGTATGATTTTGTTTAAAAGTCAAATATTTAGTAATTTTTATTATAATAATTTTATAATTATTGAATTTCAGAACATGAGATTACTTCAAGAAAATATCCTGTAATGGTATACATACACGGAGAATCATTTGAATGGAACTCGGGAAATCCTTATGACGGAACAGTTCTAGCTGCATATGGAAACGTTATAGTGGTAACTCTAAACTTCCGTTTAGGAATATTGGGTGAGTATTGTTTCCATATTTAATTGTTTAGATAGCACATATACATTAATTGGTGGTATTATGTTACTTACAATAAAAAGAAAAACATGTAAAAAAAACTCTGATTTATGGGATAGTATATATATATATATATATATATATATATATATATATATATATATATATATATATATATAAGTAAACTTTAAATATTGGGTATGCAGCAATAAAAATGAAAGGTGTACTCTTTTAAATTTTTATTCCAAGCTTTCGGACATTGGTTATTTCCTTCATCAGGGAGCTACAAATGTGATGAATAATTTTTACAAATTTGTATAATTAATTAAAAATTCGATACTTACAAACTTAATGAGGTTGTCTCATAAATGATTTTATATAAATTGTTGATAAAATTTATCACAGTCTGTTGAGCTAAAACCTATTCCTATATTTAAAATTTTAAAAAATTAATTAACATTCACACAAACTTAATTATTTTTAAACAAATCTATGACATTGATATTGACATTGGCAAGTGAAAATCTCACATCCCTAATATCAAGCAACTGCTAGTACAACAAATTATAGGCTTATTATTAGGTATATCGTGGAAATATAAATTATTTTATATTTGTTAATATCATTAGGAAGTGAAACTTCAACCTGTCAATGTTTTAAAACAAAGCCTATTAAATTAACATAAATAAATAAGGTCGTAATTCTAAAAACGTTACAATTTATTGTGATTTTGTTTTGTATGACCCCAGTATCTGTGTGTAAACAAAAATTATTAAATTTAAACAAACTAACTTGTAAAAAATATAAATTCCTCAAAAATGAACTTTTTAATTACTTAAATGTCAATTAATAAATTATTGTTTGTCTTATTGTTGCATTTATCTAGTAGTAACAAATAGTAATTTAAATTTAATAATTTTTGTTTACACACAGATACTGGGGTCATACAAAACAAAATCACAATAAATTGTAACGTTTTTAGAATTACGACCTTATTTATTTATGTTAATTTAATAGGCTTTGTTTTAAAACATTGACAGGTTGAAGTTTCACTTCCTAATGATATTAACAAATATAAAATAATTTATATTTCCACGATATACCTAATAATAAGCCTATAATTTGTTGTACTAGCAGTTGCTTGATATTAGGGATGTGAGATTTTCACTTGCCAATGTCAATATCAATGTCATAGATTTGTTTAAAAATAATTAAGTTTGTGTGAATGTTAATTAATTTTTTAAAATTTTAAATATAGGAATAGGTTTTAGCTCAACAGACTGTGATAAATTTTATCAACAATTTATATAAAATCATTTATGAGACAACCTCATTAAGTTTGTAAGTATCGAATTTTTAATTAATTATACAAATGTGTAAAAATTATTCATCACATTTGTAGCTCCCTGATGAAGGACATAACCAATGTCCGAAAGCTTGGAATAAAAATTTAAAAGAGTACACCTTTCATTTTTATTGCTGCATACCCAATATTTAAAGTTTACTTCCTTACGTGCTCAGCAAATACTTCTGGTTCATTATATATATATATATAATATATATATATATATATATATATATATATATATATATATATACTTTTATATAACTATACCTTTAAATAATATTGCCATAAGATTATAAAAACATTAAATATACGACACGTATACCTGTCGGGAAATACAAAAATTTCAAAAATGTCCACAACAGATACAAATATTTTCCGATAGACCATATAATTATTTATTTCTAAAGCTGAGCAGACCTTAAAAGTCTAGAGCTAAAAATATTTACATTTTCCATTACAATAACTATTTTTTCCGCAAATCGCCAGGAAATTTTGACATTCCTGTCAAAATTTCTTGAAGAAAAAGTCAGGACTTCCTTACTGTAAGGAAATGTCATTTCCTTACTGTAAGGAAATTATATTTTTGTACAGTGTGTTAGTGTTTTACATAAGTTTGACAATTCAACCTCAATACGTTTCCATAGTAACCCAAGTAATTTTATTAGGAATTTCAAAGCACTATTTATTTGGGAATAAAATTATCGCGTTTTTTTTTAAATCAATCAATATCTGTCGGAATTTTAAACGATTTGCGGAGAAATAGTATGTTTACCTCGTAGGAAAAGCCACATTCCGGACTCTGTGTTCACAGTCGTCCAGGAATGTTAAGCTTTCCTACCCGGTAAACAATGTACTATTTTTCATATTTATTATTATTTTTTTAGTTTTTCCATACTTTTCTTAACCACTTCCTTTCCGTTTCTTCTGTCCCAGGTTATTTCTTTCCAATTCTCAATATTATTTTTGTGTAAGTCTTCATATACACTGTCATTCCATCTTTTTCTACTCTAACTTTCCTTCTCTTTTGTATTGGCTTGGGTGAGAATAACATTTTCTGAATTTGTTCCTTTTCCATTCTTTCCATGTGTCCTTAATATTGTATTATCTGCGTTTTGATTACTGTTGTAATTTTTATCTTTTTATATAATTCTTTAAGTTCTTTATAATTTATTCTTCATTGACCATCTAGTTTTATATCTGTTTGATTTTTCCTTTCTCATCTTTCTAAAAAATTCATTTCTAATTTCTTAAGCACCCATACTTCGAATGCATATACAGCTCTAGGGCTGATAACTGTTTTGTAAATTCTAATTTTTATTTTTTTAAGGCATATTTAAATTTCATTATTGCTCCATATTTTATGGTTTTCTTTAGCTGTTCTTGCCTTTATCTCTTATTTCTCATGTCCCTTTCCATCTATTTTTAGACCAGACAAGAAAATTCTAGAATTCTGTTGAACACATGCGAGTATTTTCTTTATCTACTTATAATGTGAAAATATCATCTTTTATCTGTTCTTGCATCATTAGGTATTTTGTATTTTCCTTATTGATTTTTAATCCAAATTTTTTTGCCCCTTCTATTAAGTTATTTATTAACATTGTTATATCTTTCCTACTTGTCGTTAATAGTGATAGATTATCTGCATATATTTGGTTAAACAGAGTCGTGGGACTCTGAAGGCCTGCTTAAAGGCGATGTTCGTAGCATGTAGTATATATTTCTTTTATCGCAAATATGTGGTTTGTCGTCGACCTATTGTTTCATCATCATCATCATTCTGGCTTTACAATCCTATCTGGGATTGTAAAGACTCCTAAAGTTTTATTCAGTCCTCTCTATCCATCACCTTTCTCCTCCAAGAACGTATTTCTCATGTCTTCATCGATATTATTAGAAAACCTTTAAGGCTATATTGTTTCTAATCTATGCCTCATATTCGCCCAATATCTTTTCCGTATATTGATTTAGCTTTTTCCCTATACTCTGTCTCAAGATTTTGTAAACTAGTTCCCCCAAAGCAAAGCCTCTGTAGTTTTTACATCACATTCTTTACCTTTTTTGCGTATGGTAAATATTTTTTACTTTTTTCTATTTCCTGTAAACTTTTTATCATCTGGTTTATCTCTTTTTGCAGCTTTTTTCCTTTGCATTTGTCATTGAGCAGATATTTCTGTTATCATGGGCTTTATTGTTTGTTTGTCCCTTTATTTCATTTTCTATTTCTTGCTCTGTAGGTATTTCTCTTACTATCATCATCTTTGGCTCGTCAATCCTCTGTGGATCTTGGCCTGCTCTAAGATTCGTCGCCATTCTGTTCGGTTTTTGGCAACATGTTGCCATCTGCTGATTTTTAATATTCGTAAGTCGGTTTCTACTCCATCTAGGTAACCACCTAATTCGCGGTCGGCCTTTACTTCTTTTTTCTACAGGTGTTCCTGTGGTTAGCTTTTAAGCAATTTCTCTTACTATGATATCTATTTATTACTCAATAGATTACCTGTATTTTCAAAGGTTGAACATCCTCTTTTGAAAGCCAACTGTAATTTAGGTAATGTGTTTTTTTTTTCGAGCCAATGAACTACTCTTGGATGTTTAGTATCTCGGTTGGCCTTTATAATTGGGATTGTTGAATGTTTCTTTCAGCTTTTTGGAAATTCTGCACGATTCCATATTGTTTTTCGAAAATATTCTATATTATGTATATTCTGTATTAACTTGATATTTCACTTGGAAATATTAGTGCAGCATATATTCAAATATAAATCACAAAGTATTACGTCCAATAATTACATCCAATTGACACTTATACAATAAAATTTAGGTTTATAATAAATTATAAATTATATATATATATATATATATATATAATATATATATATATTAATAAAGTTATTAATAAAGCTAAGAGCTTTAGAGTACACACGTTAGCCCATACGCGGTACAAGAGGGAATCTTTGGATTTATTCAAATCCATTCTCATTGATAACTCTTACTCCATATCCTTCATCAACAGATATCTTTTCTCTAAAAGCTATGGTCATTCTATTTCGGAAGCAACTAACGGTGTAATACTAGCCTCCATATCCAATAACATACAGACGAACAATTCCCCGTTAACCCCAAAACCAGTCACAAAATATGCTTCTCTTTCCTATTTCCCACAAATTACGAACAAGCTTACTAAACTATTCAAAAACTTACCCGTCAAAATATCCATAAAAAATACTAAAACCATTGGAAAGTTATTCTCCAAGCCTAAAACTCCACTAAGCTCGTTAGAGCACACTAAAGTTGTCTATCAGATTCCCTGTACTGAATGCAACTCCTGTTACATTGGCCAGACCAGTCGATCACTTCTAGGGCGTATAACTTCACATAAAAGCGACATTAGACTTTCCAAACCCTCTTGTGCCCTTGCACAACACGCCATTTCCACCAAACATCACATTGACTTTCTCAAATACTAAAATACTGGCGAAACAAAATAATCATCATCATCAGAAACGCTCCCTTATTGAAATGTGTGAGATTCTCAAAAACCCATCTGCAATAAACAAAAGAACCGATATCGACAATTTGAGCCAGGTTTACCACTCTCTCATCTCACGAAATAAATAATACCAATTATTCGTCATTTAAAATAGCCTTATTT